ATTTTTTTTTTTTTTTTTTTTTTTTTTTTTTTTTTTTTTTTTTTTTTTTTTTTTTTTTAGAATATCTATAATTTTTAAATTTTTAGAAAATTTTAAAAAGGAAAATTCTTTTTTTCTTTTGAATATTTTATAGTTTAAAAAATATTTTTCAAAAAGTCAGCGACATGAATATACAAATTTTAGAAGATAAAAAAATTATGTACATATTTATGAAATATTTCAATATTAAAAATTTTAAATTACTTTCTTTTATATTTTAAAACGAAATCCTACAAATTTTTTTATTTTTTTTACATTTATATTATAATTTTTAAATTATAAATTAAGTAAAAAATGAAAATATTTAATTGTAATTTTATTTAACAAATATAATTGTTCTGTATTTAAGGTTATGAAAAAGGAAGTATTTTTAATAAAATGAAAAATATAAATGAGTAAATAATTTTTATATGTAACTTCTATATAAACATTGAAAAGATTGAAAATTTTTTATAAAATTAAGAGAATTTTTCAAAATATATTAAGAAAATGAAAAAAAATTCCAGAAGACAAATAAGAAACCAAATTCATGTTATTAAATACAGAAATCAATATGATTAAATAAAGAAAAAAAAAAAAAAATAAAAATAATAGGATATAAGAAAAATTTCTTTTATCATTCAAAATATTCATTAAACTATGTAATTTATTATTTTTTTTTAAATTAAAATAATAAAAAAATTGAAAATGTAAGATGATTATTTTTTAAATAAATATTATTTATTGAAGAATATTTATATATTTGTTTTAATAAATAAAAATTTTCAAATTTTGTATTAAGCTGGATGTTTAATAAATAAAAATTTTCAAATTTTATATTAAGCTGGATGTTGTTTTTTATAGAAATGAAAAAAGAAAAATATATTTGTTTTCTGTAAGTTTAATAATATACTTATTTAAAAAAAATTTATATATTTTTTATAATCTTAACACAGCTGAAATTTTTTTTTTTTTTTTTTTTTTATTTTATTAAATAATATTTAATTTTATTTTTGAAATATTTTTTTTCAGTTATATATTAGTATATATATAATTTATATATAATAGAAACATTAATAAATGTTATGAATACTAAAAAGAAAAGATAATTATAAAAATACTTTTATATTCTAAAAAAAATAAACAAAAAGGAAAAAAAAATGAAAATTGATAAAAAAAAAGAGTTTAAAAAGAAACTTATAATATGTTCCTCTTTGTTGCAAGTAGTAGATCCTTTGAAAATAATTATAGATGAAACATTTATTAATTTATGCATTATTCATAAAATACCAATTAAAGAAGAATTAAATAAATTAATTAACAGACAACTTATAATTATGACAACTAAATGCATAACAGCAAACTCAAAAAAATTAAATGAAGAAAGTGCTTACAGTTTAAAGAAGATAACACATTATAAATGTAATCATGAAAAAGATTATTTAAAAAAATCAACTAGTATATTTCTTGAAAAAATTAATAAAGGAGAAAATTCCAAATTTTCTCCAATTAATTATTTTGAAAATCAAATTAAAATTACTCATAATTTCGATTGTATATATAATGCAAAAAATGAAATTTATTCAAATAATGTAATAAATGAAAATAATAAACAAGTAGAAGGGATTATAACAAAAGAAAATAATGAATTGAATGAAAAAGATAAAAAATTAAATGAAAATAATAAAATTACAGAAGAAATCATTAATACAAATGAAAATGTTGAATTGTCTGATTCTATGAAATGTATATTAGATTTAGTCAAAAATAATAATGAAAAAAAGTTTTTCATTGCAACAAATAACATGGAATTGAGATATTTTTTAAGGTATTTTAAAAATGAAAACATTTTTTTTAAGATTATCTATAATATTTTTCATTAATATATAAAGTTATTTATAATAGAGCTATTAATGAGAATATAGAAAAGAAAAAAAAAAAAAAAAAAACAATAGCAAATATTCATATTTAAATATATTTTTTTTATACTTTTTTTTTTTTTTTTTAGAAAAATCTTTTTAGTGCCAATTATTTATGTAAGTGAAGGAGGAGCTTTAAAAATCGAAAGTTTATCAATAAAAAACATGAAAAAAAAAAAAAATGTTGAATTAAAAAAGATGAAAATGCTTAAGTGGGAAAGAGATATAAAAATATCAGAACAAAAAAGAAATGAAAAAGTAAGAAAAAGCATAAAAAAAAGAAAGAAAAAAAAGAATAGAAATAATACAAATGAATTAAATAAAAATGAAATGGAAGTAAATAAAGAAAAAGTAGATGATAAAAAAAATCAAATAGAAGAATATATGATTAAAAAACAAAAGAAACAAAATAAAATAAAAAAATATATCAAGAAAAAACAAAATAGAAAAAACAAAAGGAAAAATAAAAAAAACAGAAAAAAAAAGACATAAATAGAATATAAGAAAAAAAAAAAAATATATATATATATGAATATTTTATGATGGCTAAATCTTTATAAATATTTTATTTTATTTTATTTTTTTTGTATTATGAAATTGTTAATTTATGTCTAATATCTCTTTCAAAATTTACAATTTTATTTTTCAATTTATGTTAATTCCTTTGTAAGTTATTATATAAATTTAATTTTTTTTTTTTTTTTTTTGATAAAAAATTTTTATTTATAACAAAAAGAAGTTAAAATTCAAATTTTTAATAATAAAGTTTTTACAAATTTAATTTGTTTTTATGTAGGATACATATATCATATGAATATTATTAAATATTGTTACTAATTAAAATCCTCTTCATAATTATTTTTTTTTTATAAATATATAGAAAATCTGTTAAATATTTAAGAATATAATTATAAATAAAGAAAAAAATTTAAATTAATAAATAAAAAGATAAACTAAAACATAACTTAAAAAATTAATAACTATGAATGAAAAGAGATGAAAACAAATGTATAAAAGAAGTATTAAAAGTATTTTTAACTCAATTTTTTTCATTAAAAAAAAATTTTTCTTTTATATTTTTTTTAATAAATGATTTATTATATTACTCATAATAGGTTGTCCTTTTTTTGTTTTTTTATTTAACTTCTTAAACTTTTGGATTCTAATTAATCTTTTTTTTCTTCTTTCTTTTTCATTTTTTAAAAGTGTAGCTTCTTTTTCTTTAAGATACATTTCTTTTTCCTTTTTTTTTAAGTTGCTATAATTAATTTCTTTACTATAAATAGACCCTTTTTTTCTTTTTTTCATATTATTACCAATTATAATTTTTTTTTTTTCATTTTTTTCTTCATTTTTTTTTTCATTATTTTCTTCATTATTTTCTTCATTATTTTCTGTAGAATTATCATTTTCATTTAAATTATGGATAATGTTACATTTATCATGAAAATTATCTTTTTTAGAACCTTCTTTTCTATATAAATTATTTTGTTTTTCTATATTTAAATTATAGCTTTCTTTATGTTTCTTTTCTTTTTCTTCTAATTCATCTTTTCCTACATCTTTTTCTTTTCTTATTGGTGTAAAAAAGAAATTTTCTATAGGATCTTTTTTTGTAACTTCAACTTTATTTTCATTTATTATACTTTTTTTATATTTACGTAGAAATTTTTGATCTATAAAGTACTTCTTTTTCTTTCTATGATAACTTTTACTTTTTATATAATTTTTATTTACGAAGTGGTGTTTCTTTTTCATTTTAATAACAATCAATAAAATAATAATCAATATAATAAAAAATTTTTTTTTATAATAATTTTAATTTTTATCTTAATTATTTTTTTGTAACATCTTAATTTATATTATTAAAGGTATTTTTTTTTTTTTTTGAAGCCATTTTCATTAAAATAAAACTTGTATGTTTTGAAATTTTTTTTATCTTCTTAAAAAATTATTATATTTACAATTTTTATTTTATCAATAAACTTTCAAAAAATATAATAATCTTTTATAATTTTATCTCTTATGTGCTTAATTTTTTTTTTTTTTTTTTTTTTTAATACTGCTAACTCAAAAGGAATAATAGTAGCATTATATAAAATTTCATATATTCATTGAATACAAAAAAAAAAAAAAAAATAAATAAATAAATGAATAATAAAATGTTAAAAAAAAAAATTAAGTAAGATCTTTTATTGAAATATGATATAAGAATATTAAATATATATGAAAAGTTTGTTATTATTTAAAAAATGATAGAGAAAAATAATAAAAATATAAAAAAAGGAAAATTTTATAGAACAAAGAAAAAAAATAAAAATGAAGAAAAAGTCAATAAATTGGGATATAATGATCTCAGAAAAAATAAAAAAGTAAATAAAAAAAGTGAAACATTTAAAAATTTTAAAAAAAATAAATTGGAGACTAATCAGAAATTTAAAAATAAAACAAAAACACATTTTAATAATAAATATAACAATAAAAACAGAATATTAAACAATTATAAAGAGGTTGATTCTGAAAATAGTTATGATAATTGTAATTCTGGTTTTGATGAAGATAAAAAAGAAGAGAATAATTTAAATAATAATGAAAACATAACAAGTGATTTAAATATAAAAAATAGAACAGTTGATTATGTTGATTATATAAATATGATTAAAAATTCAGATGAGTATAATTTAGATAAAATAAAAAAAGAATATGATGAAAATAATGATATAAATAATGAAAAAGTATTTAAAATTTTTCTTATATTTTCTCCTTTAGCTATAACAAGTATAAAAAACAAAAGTTGCTTAATTAATGCTGATGATCACATGACACTTTTTGAAAAAAAATTAAAAAATCTTGAGAATTTAATGAAAATTGAAAGCAATGATAATAATAAAAAAAATATAAAAAAAAAAATCGATAGTGTAAAAAATAAATTGGATAATATAAGATCTGATGTATTATTTTATACATTACTATGTTTAAGAGATAGTATTTTAAATAAAAAACAAAAATTACAAATATATATTTATACAATTAACAATTTATTAATTTATGTTTCTCCATTATTTCGTATACCTAGAAATTTTACATTATTTAAAAAAGTTATGTTAAGTTTATTGAAAAAAGGTGAATTATATGATGATAATAAACAAATACTTTTAAAAATTCTTCCTCATTCGATAAAATATTATATAGGAAACACAGTGTAATAATAATATTGATAATAATAATAATTTTTATAATTGTATAAATTCAATTTTTTTTTTTTTTTTTTTTTTTTTCTTAGATGTGTTGGTATATCAAATGATGGTTTTCCTACTGATGCTAAAAAATTTGCTGACAAAGTAAAAAAAACAAACAATGATTACTCATTTTTTGTATCTTTATCATATATTTATGATGTAACTAAATTTATTGAAATAATAAAAAAGAAGGAATCAGAAGAATTTTCATTTGATTATCTTATTAGATTATCAGACTTAAAGTTATCACCGATTACTATTTGTTCAAAGTTGACTTATTTTTTGAATTAATATGCAACTATTTATTAATATGATTAAAAAAAAAAAGAAATAATTTAAAAAGGAGATACACTTAAAAAATGTATTAACAAAATGTTTAAACCAAAAAAAAAAAAAAATAAATAAAAAGATAAAAAGAGCTTTGTATATGTTATAATTTAAATAAATGGTTAAATTAGAGAAACTTAAAATTGTAAAAATTAACATTCACATAAAATAATTTGTTATTTTTTTTAAGTTTTTATAATTTAAAGAATTTTATGTTTTCCTTTTTTTTTTAATGCTTACTATTTATTTATAACTTTTTTTTATATCATCAAACAGTGTAACGTACTTACTAATATTAACTGAAAAAAAAAAAAAAATAAAAAGTAAAACATTTAATTTTATATAATGAAAAAATTATAAAATGTTAAAATTATTTGTTTTCATTACTTCCGAAAAGCTCATGCTCTTCACTTTTTTTTTCAGTACCATCATCATAAAAAACCTAAAAAATGAAAATTATAAAATATAAAAGCATAATATAGTTGAAAGGAAAAAATTATAAATTAATAAAAATGCTAAAAAATAATTTATAGAATTATAAAAGAAGAAAAAAAAAAAAAAAAAAAAAATCAATCAAACCATAAGAAATGGAGTAAAATAATAAAATAAAATAATGTGTGATATATAATGAATAGTAAAAATAAATAAATAATAAAAACAAAAATATTTAAAAAAATAAAAATAATTTTGCATTAAAATCAAATTTAAAAATTATATAATGATTTCTTTCTTAATATTTATATTTATTACTTCACTGTTATTTTGTAAATTTCCCAATAAAAAATGGTTAACAATTTTATAATGTATATTCAAAGGCATATCAAAAAATTTACTGGTTACAAAATTATTAAAAGTCCTTTTTTCTTCATATAAATAGTTAGCTAAATCTGATATATTTTTTTCTTCTACTCCTGTTAATAATTTATACATTAAAAAAAAAATATATATTTATATATTTATATATATATATATTTATATATCATTTAATAATTATAAGAATAAAAACATCAACTTATGTATACTTTAATACACTGTTGCATATTATTAATAAATAACAAACCTAGAAATTTACTTGAAATTTCATCATTCATTGATGTTTTCAAATAAGTTTTTATAGGTTTTCTTCTACTTAAATTTTTTTCTTTTTCTTGTGTAAAATTTTCATTACTTTTAGATACAATAAAGTTAGCTAAATACAAAAAAAAAAAAAAATAAAAAAAAAAATTTATATATATATATATATATATGTTAAAATATAAATACTTAAAATAAAAGCCTACTTCTAGATTTTTCTAATTGTTCCCGTAAAATGTCTTTTTTTTTTGTTAATAATTCAATTTGATTATTTAATTTTGATAAAGTGTTTATATCATCTTTTATACGTCTTTTTGCATAATTTAAAGTATCAATTTCTCTTAAAATGGAACAAATTTCCCTTTGAACTGTAATACGAGATATAGGTAAGGTATCAATATTTTTATTGTTCATAAAAATTTCATGGAAACTCTTTTTTTTTTTCATTTCTACTAAATCTTGAATTTGCTTTTCTGTATAATGAAAATTTTTTAAGTCTTCTATTTTTTCTTTTAAAAATAAATGAAAGTTTTTTAAAATTTCTAAATTAACAGAAAATAATTTTATAAAATTATATTCATCTATTGTAAGTTTTTCATCAGATATGTTATTCATATCACATATGTAAGTTTCATAATTTTCTATACTTAATTCGTTTATTGAAATTTTCTTATTTTGATTCATTATATTCTTTATTTTATTAAAAAATTGAACATCTGATAAATTTTCTAAATGTGCTATTTCAAATTTAATATTGGTATGCCTATCTAGAGAAAAATAATTTTCACTATTAATAACATTCGTTAAAAAAAATATATTTTTTTTTTCATCCATTGAGTTGTTACTTTTATTTGTCTCTTGACTGTTATTTTTATGCTGATTCTTTAGTATATTAGAGACTTTTATTAACTTACTGCTATCAATTATTTTTATAATATGTCCAATTACGTAATAAGGAAAATTAACATGTTCACTCATATCGAGAAGAAAAGTTTTTTTTAACTGAAAATATGTTATAATTTCATAACTCATATATTTATATATATCCAATTTAACTTTTTTTTCTTCTTTATAAAGATATATTAAACGTTCTGGAGTTTCTTGTTCTTTTAAATGCTTCTCTTTTTTTACTAAATCATCCAATTCTTTTGAATCATCAGGTAATTTTTTTTGTTGATCATTAGAATAAATAAATGATTCATTTTTATGATTTTTTATATTATTATTATTAACAAAACTCTTTTCTGAATCTTTTTTTAAATGCAATTTTTTCTTTTTTATTATATCATCACTTTTATCATTAGAATAAAGTTCGTTATGTTGCTTCTCTATTTCTCTTTCACTTCTATTATTTTTTAAATATTTACACTTATCAGCACTTTTTCTTTCTTCTACCATTCCACTTCCTTGATTAGATGACATTAGTATTTTGTTTTTATTTGTCGTTATTAGATTATTATTATCTTTATTACTTTTTCTATTTTTATTTTCTTCATTATTTAGTGATATTTTTTTTTTTTTTTTACTTTTTTTTTTTTTATGATAAGAACTAGAATATGTGTCTGATGATTTTTCATAACTATCAGCACTTAAATTTTTATCATCATTTTCTAAATTATTGTTTTTTTTACTAATTATATTTTTAGATTTACTATTATTATCACTAGACAATTTTAAACTTCCCCTTTCATTATGTATAAATGAATCGCTTTTTTTTTTTGATTCGTTGCTTTTAATGTAATTTGTTTCTTCTTTATCTTGTTTAATATGTTTACCAGTTTTTGTTGTTAATTTTCTATTTTTTTTATAATTACTTGATTTTTTATTTATTTTATCAGTTTCTACATTTTCACTAAAAATGTTCTGTTTTTTTGATTTTGACTGTAATGATTTATTGTTAAAACTACTTTTTTTATTTAAAGTATGAATATTATTATCATCGCTACAATTTCCTTCTAAATTATTATCGATACTTATATTTTTTAACAAAATACTTCTATGTTTTTTTTTCATATATTCCTCGTGCCTTTTAGCTAAAATTAATTCTCTTTCATATTCTGGTAAGTCTTCTAAATCATCAATATCATTCTCTTTATTTGACGAACATAAAGAATCATCTACATTATTGATATCATTTTTATTTGATTTATTTTTAAGGGGATAATTTGATTTTTCCATTTTCCTTTAATTTTAGAAATTATATTGGTGTTATTGAACTTTATATGTAAATAATATATACCAAAATAAAAAAAAATTAAAAAAAAGTTAAAACGGAATTATTTTTTCAGATATTTTTTAGTTTTATTTTAAACACTTTCTCTTTAATTAAATTCCTGTTTTAATTCATTATTATTATTTTATTTTTTTTTTTTTTTTCATTTCTATTTTCTAAATTTTTGTTATATTTTCTTTTAATAATGTTTTATTAAATCCAATATATTAATAATATTTATATTATATTTCTATAATTCTTTGTTTCATTATAATGGTTAAATAACATTTTTTTTTTTTAATTAAAATCTTCAGTTATTTTATTTTTAAAATTATTTCACAAAAAAAATAAAAAAAAATTAAACATTTATTTATATATTTTTTTAACCATCTTTCATAAATATTCATAAATATATATTTATAATACTTAATTTTCTCTGTAAAGAAAATTAAAACGAAATAAAATAAAATAAAATAAAATATAGTAAAATAAAATAAAGTAAGATAATATAAAATGGATAATCAAATAAAGCCAAGTATTTATATTCCTTTTTTTTTTTTATTTTTTTTTTTTTTTTTTTTATTTTATAAATATATGCTAAATTTTTGTTATAAATGCTATTGTATAATATATATTTATTAAAAAGAAAAATTATAAGTTTAAAAGGTTTGGAACAATTTAAAAAGTTGTATATTAGTTGTGTTTAAATGTAGAAATAAATATAATAAAAAATTAATTGTATATTTTTATGTCACCATTTTCCTTTTTTATTTATCATAGCAGTTCATATTTTCTTCATAAAATAAACAAATTAAGTATTTTACTTACTTAAATAAAGTGAAAAAATTTTTTTAAATAAATAAAAAAGCTAATTTAAATATTCACTTTTGTAGAATATTATTTCAAAAGTACTTTGAAATTTTATCCTTATTATTACTTTGTTTGACATTAATTTATTGAATTGTTTTTATATTTTTTTTTTTTCATACATTATTAATAATTATTTTATAAACTAGTTTTTAAAAATAAATACAATAAACTTAATAAAAAAAGTAGTAAATTATATGTTAGGTAGCACAGTTCCTATTATGAATAAGATATTTTTAAATAATGTTTAAGCCTCTATGTAAAATACATAAAATTTATATTTTTTTCAAAAAAAAAAAAAAAAAAAATATAATTCATATAAAAAAATACGTTTTTTCAAAAAAATTGGCTAAGTAATTAAAAAAAAAAATGGAGTATACATATACTTCCGAAAAGGATATCTAATTTTAAAAATATAAAAAAAAAATTTTAAAACGGAAAATTATATGAAAAATATTAATTAAATTTACTTATAATTTTCAACAGCTGTAATATTGTAAATTTAAATTTATATAGAAATAATAATGAAACATTAATTTTTGTATTTATTAAAAACAAAGATTGATAATACTTTATTTTATTCATAACTATATATAATAATTGTATAAAATTTAACAACATTATGTAGGTTAATTTTATAGCATATATTTATATACATTTTTTTTTTTTTTCTCTTGTAATATGTTATTTTTAAAATAACAATTATGTACAATAATTAATTATCTTATGACTTTTTAAAATGATTTTGAATATACTAATAAATTCATCACATTCATTATATCTATCACACATGTTTTTATTGTGAATCTCTTCTTTTAAAAGTTTTTTCTTTACGTTATTTAACAAATAATTATACTTATTATTCCATTGTTCTTCTTCATTCATTTTTTCTAAATTTGTTTTCTCTAAAATACTGTATTCTTTTGTATTTTCTTCATTTTCCAATTTAAGTAATTCCGCAGATTCATCTGTTTTTTCATTTTTGCAAATATTGTTATTTTCACATTCTTCAGTTTCCTTCTTATATTCTATATATTCCTTATCCTCAATGTTGAAAATGCCACTATGATTATGAGTATCCATGAAATTGGTAACTTTTTCATTAGCCGTTAAAATAGACAACTGAGAAATTTGCAATCTTTTTTGTAAAATGTTATTTGATGTATTTAATGGTAGCATTAAAGAGAGTATCATTAATGACTTAATTAGAAATGGATAATTTTTTGGATAAATTAAATGAATTCTTTGTTTTGAAAAAACTGGTGATTCAAATAAAAAAATAAAATTATCTAGCTGATGAAAAAAGTCAGAATTTACATCTATCAAAGTTAAATAAGAGCAAAGTAAATATGATAGCTCATATTTTTGTAACCACAATAAAAAAGATATGGCTGATATTGGGTTGTGAAACCATGCAATTAATATTATTGAAAACAGATGATAATATTTTTTTAAGAATAAAACATTTCTAAGATACTTTGTTTCATTAGAAGTTAATAATACCCAATTTAAAACTTGAACAAATTTATTTACAAATTTTAAATTGCTTTCATTAATTAGTAAATAGGATAAATAAGCATAAAATTTTTTGTTATTTAAGCAACGAGAAATATGTTGTACTATAACTTTTCCTTTATGTATTAATAAATTTTCATCATTTTTAAATAGTATAATTAAGTTTTCACTTATTTTTTCATAAAAATAAAATTTATTATTAACAGTTGAACACATAGCTGATAAGACGGTTAGTGATAATAAAAGAACCTTACTATTATCATTTTTTAAGCACTTAAATACACATACAATTATTTGATCATAATAAGTTTTAATTTCATTACTTTTATATATTAATATTTCAATTAACCACTGTAAACACATAATTACAGGGTAAATATTTCTTTTTTCTAAATTATCATAAAACATATTATCATCATCTTCATCATCATCATCATTGACTTTTTTAATAAATTTGTTTATAAAATATGCTTCACTTTTACCTACATCTCTTAATAAAATTTTTTTTTCTTTTATTTCATTTATAAGTTTTTCATGATTACAAAGAAATCTTAAATTAATATTTTGTTCTTTTGAGTAACTATTATTTAATATTTTATTTCTCGAATCTTCGGAAATGTTATTTTTTTTATAAAATAAATTACATGATTCAAAACTTAATGATTCACTAAGGTTATCTTTATAATTATTATTACTGTTACTAACACTGTTATCACACTTATGAACACTATTTATATAATCATTTATGGTATTTTTCTTCATTTCATTATTATTACTAATATTAATATTGTTATTACTATTACTCCTACTGTTATTGCTACTTATAGTATTTTCATAATTATTATTATTATTAAAACTATTATTATTTTTATTTATAATATTTTCATTAATATTATTATTATTATTGTTATTTTCATCATTATTGTTATTTTCATCACTACTGTTATATTCATCATTATTGTTATTTTCAACATTATTCTTATTTTCATCACTATTCTTATCATTATATTTACTATTACTATCATTATCAATATATTTACTTTTTTCATCATTTTTCATTGCATATATATTTTTTTCTATGTTATTATTATGATGAATGAAATGTACCGAATGATTTTCTCTATATTTTTCATCTTTATTTATACTGGATTTATTGCTGTTATCATTATTTATACTCTTATTATTATATTTGAAATTACAAACAATATTATCTTCCGGGTTATAATTATCTCTATCGGTTCCATTGGAAATAAAATCGTCCTTTTCATAATTAACATTATTTTCATTTTTGATAGAATCTTTATCAATATCTTTTTCTTTTTCATTAACTTTATATGATACACAATGATCATTATATTTGTAAACAGAATAAGATATATTTTTTTCTTCATTTATATCTTTTTTAATCTTACTTGTGTTGTGTAAATTTTCATTATATATTATATGATTTTTATCTAATTCTGTCTCTTCATTTGAAAATTTCTGAGACTTTTTATTTTTTGAGTTAGATTTTTTTTGATAATTATTATAATTCATTACTTCTTTGGTACTTAAAATTAATTCACTTTTTTCTAATTTTGAGTTAATAATATCACATAATAGCTTTGTTATCTGTGGTGCAGCTTCTAATGAGGAAAATTTAAGGTAATTTATTAACAGTTCATTACATTTTTTGGCTGTATAATGAATATCAAAATTTGCATCAGACGTGCAATAAATAATTTTTTCCAGAAGTTGAGAAACAAAAATATTATTTTTTTTAGGAGATTTAAATATATTATAAAAATGAATATTTAAAATATTTATAAAATGATATATCCACAATAAGCTTTTATGCTTAATGATGGTATTTTTATTATCACAAAATTCTAAAATTACATGAGCTATATGTCTTAAAAATATCCTGCATTGCTCATAATTTGATGTTGCAATTTTATCAATATATAAATCTAAGCACTGATTAGCTTGTTTTTGTATATCTTTATTTTCATCGGATAACATAAAAAATAAGTCTTTTATAAAAAAATGAAAATATTCAAATATGTTGATAGTTGGAATATTTTGTAGAAAATATAACCAAGATATTATAAGTTGCCTAACATCTGTATTTTCAATAGATATTTTATCCTTTAATATATATATTATTTTATATATATTAAAAATATTATTATATGAACAAATCATATCTTTTAATAAATTATCTAAATATGCACCTCCATTTTTCACATTAGTACATGAATCTGAAAATATTCTATATAAACAATCAAATATATCTTCAATTTTATAAAAAATAATATTTTTTGAAACTTTACACAAATTATATAAACTTTCACATACATAATACCTTACTTTAGAATCTGGATCGCTTATACATGAAATAATAATTTTTAATATATCTGTAAAATAAAATTTTATTTTAATATCTAAACTTATTGATATAAACGCTAATGCAATTAGACCTCCACATCTTTCTGAAATGTTAACACTTTGAATAAACTTTTTATCTATAAAATTAATTATACTTAAAATTTTCTTATTTTGATATTTCTTATTAAAACTGTCTATATAAATATCGTTATCGTCTAATATATCATTTAATTTTCTTTTATTTTTATCCATTTTTATTTCTAAACCCACCTTATTCTTTATATATTTATTTTCAGTCGATTTTATAAATTCGGAGTCTATATCATAATTTTCTTTACATTTATCTAATAACATTTTTTTAATTATTTCAGAACCTAAAATATAATTCTCCTCATTTATTTCTTTATAATAATCTCCCTTTTCTATTTCTGTAAATTTTTTTTTATCCTCTTCTATAGTTTTATCCGTATCATAAACATTTTTTACTTCTTCATCCAAATTATTTTTGTACTCTTCAAATATATTTTTTTTGTTTTCTCCGTTGCTTTTAATATCCTTTTTATTATTTTGTTGGTTATTTTGTTTCTCTTCTTGACTTTCATACTTTTTTTTTTTATCTTCATCACTATTAAAGCATATATCTTCTTTTTTTAAGCTTTCATTATAGCTTTGAAAATAATTTTCACCATTAAATTCTACATCATTTTTTGATTTTATATTAGAAATTTTGTTAATATCTTTCTCTGAAAAATTTTTACTTTCATTTAAGAATGTCTCATCAATTTGTTTATCTAATAAATCATCCAAATGTTTTTGTTCTTCATCTTCTTCTTTTAATAATATTATTTTTATCAGTTCTGCTAACTCTTGTGCTCCCTTCTTCCTTTTTTCATAGGTTTTATCACCCAATAATTTTTGTATATTAATATTTATAACATTTTCTTTATCTTCATTTCTTTCTAAACCTTTAATTAGATTAAGAAACATAATTGCTTTTCGTATTTAATATATTTCCCTTTTATTATTTATTCTTTTTTTTTTTTGTTTATAAATATTTAAAAAATTATTATTATTGGCTTAAAAGATAAAACATACTAATTCATTATTTCACATATAGAATTATTGAAATGTGCTATATTATAAATAAATAATTTTTATTGAATTTATAAAATTTATTACACAAATATTTTTTTAGTATATGTTAATATGATATTATAATCAATATTTTTTTATTTCTTTTTTTTTAAATGTGTATGATTAATCTAAGGCCTTATATATTATTATTTGAATTAAGAATATAAAAGAATTGAAAGTATATAAATAAACAATTTGTTAGAAAGTTATAATATTTATATAAAAATAAAGCCAAAATGTAAAATAGATTTAAAGAATATATTTGTATATCATTTTTTTAAAGTAATTAAAAAAATAAAAAATGGAATTATCCAAATTATTTTATTTTTATTTATTAAGTAAAAAAAAAAAAAAAAAAAAAAAAGTTTATATTGATAGTTCCACTTAAAATAATATTAAAGAGAGCAAAAGGTAGTATGTAAAATTGTAAAGAAGTTATTTATTTGTTCCTTTTTTTTTATTTCTTCTTTTTAGTTTTTATTTTGTAAAAAATACTAAGGGAGTTATAAATAGATAAAAAAAAATAAAACTATATTATTTAAAAGATTTTATCTATTTCATTGTAATAAAATAAACAGTCATCACTTTTAATTTCGTATAATCTTTAAGTACTTTAAGCATTAATATGGCTTAAAGAAAAACAAAATTCTAATAATTTAAAAGGAAAAAAAAAGAGTAAAAATAAAGCATTACATAATTCAAAAAAAAAAAAAAAAAATTATCTTTCAAGGACAATTTTGAATTTTATTTGTATGTTGAAAAATAATATAATTCATACGTTATATTTTTTCTTTTAATAATAAATTTTTACTGACAAATATTAATTTTTTGAAAAATAAAATATTATTATAAGCTAAAAAATTGCTTTTTTGTAATGTTAAATTTAATAAAAAAATACAAACAAAAAAAAAAAAAATACTGTGTAATAATATAAAAAAAACTAGTAATATATAAGATTTATGTGTATTAAAAAATATATATATAATAATAATAAATGTGATAACAAATGTGGAGCACACGATAACACGCTAAAAGTTTTTTTTTTTTTTAATAAATAAAATAAAAAAAAAAAAATATATACCTTTTTCATGAATAAAGATATTTTGTGAGTGTATATTCTTATATTGAATTTTATTAAAAAACAAAGTAAAAGTGTAAAGATCAAATTGACATACATATTTATATGTGTTATATATTATTTTTTTTCTTTTTTATTATAATCATTTATATTGTTATCTAAAAGATAAAAAATAAATCCAATGCATACTGACAAAACAAAATAAAAATCAATAGAAAAAATTCTCAATTATACATATTATATATATTATATATATATATATAATTTTTTTTAGTATCTCTTTATAGTAGTACATACCTATTTTTTTATTTTCATAAATTATGAATTCCAATTATTGCTTATTTTATATGAATTGAAGATCTTATTTAAATATTTATTTATATTTTCCTTTTTATTATTGTTATTATTATATTAAACATACTGAAGATAACCTATTATGCAAAACAGAAATCCTCCATTAGTATGATAACAAAAAATATATATAAAGAAAAAAAAAGAAACATATTAAAAATAAATATTATAGTTTATTAAAAAAACAAATATATAGTGAATTATTACATATATAAGGAAAATCTTAGTCTATATATATATATATATATACACAATATATCTATCATATGTTTATATATATATATAGATTATATTTATTATATATTTTTTTTTTTTTAACAGAAGAAACAACGAACTTACGAAGTTGTTAACCTGAACGAGGTAGAAGATAAAAGAGAAAATTTCACAAATATTAATTCTTTAGATAAAATGGAAGATAATAAAATAGATACCGATTTATATTCACGACAATTGGGAACATATGGATATGAATTAATGAACAAATTAATAAAATTAAATATTTTAATAATAAATGTTAAAAGTGTTGGATTAGAATGTGCAAAAAATTTGATTTTATCAGGTCCCAAATCTGTCTGTATTTATGATAATGATATATGTGAAATAAGTGATGTAGGTGTTAATTTTTACATTAGTGAAAGTAATGTACATAATAAAAATTGCAGAAGTGATGCTGTGTTGAAACATTTACAAGAACTTAATAATTATGTACATGTATACAATTTTAAAGGGGAAATTGATAAAAATATGTTAGAAAAGTTTGATGTAGTTGTTGCGTGTGATATTAATAATAATGATATAATAAAATATAATAATTTAGTTAGGAGTATAAAAACCAAAAAAATAGCTTTTTTATGTTGCAATATTTATGGGTTGTGTGGATATATTTTTGTTGATTTTAATAATGAATTTGTGTGCTATGATCAAACTGGAGAAAATGTAAAGAGTTGCAATGTGAGTAAAATTAGTAAAGAATCCGAAGGAAAAGTTTCATTTGATTTTGATAAATCTGCGCCATTTCAGAATGGAGATTATGTGAAATTTACAGATGTTGAAGGAATGACTGAAATAAATAACAAAATATATAAAATAAATAATTTGCAGAAATACACATTTACAATAGGAGATACAAGTAATTTCAGTAATTATATAAAAGGTGGAATATGTACTCAACTAAAAATACCCTTGAAACTAAATTTTCATTCTTATGAATATATAAGCAAATATCCATTAAGTAAAAAAGTCGAAAGAAAAGAAATTATAATTAATGATACTATACATGAAGAAATAGGAATACCTGATTCTTTTATTGTTTCTGACTATGCTAAAATTGATATGAGCAACCAATTACATTATGCTATCCAAGCTCTAAAGTGGTATGAAGCACAAAATAATAATATGTTACCCGAAAATTATGAAGAAGAAGTTTTTGAAAAAATATACAAATACGCAGTAGAGTTAAATGAAAAAGATAAACAACAGGAATTGAATCAAAGTGTAGAAGAACTGAAAAAAGAGATAGTATATAACGTATCTAGATATTGCAAATCTCATATAGCACCTGTTGCTTCCTTTTTCGGGGGGTTATTAGCTCAAGAAGTAATAAAATTTACAGGGAAATTTATGCCTATATACCAAATACTATATTTAGACTTCTTTGAATGCATCACATCCACAGAACCTGATATGAATGAAATAAAAAAATTAAATTGTAAAAACGATAATATAATATCGATATTTGGGAAATCATTTCAAAAAAAATTAAATGAGTTAAATGTGTTTTTAGTTGGTTCTGGCGCTTTAGGTTGTGAATATTCTAAACTTTTTTGTTTGCTTGATATGTGTGAATCAAATAATAACGGTGTTTTAACAATTACAGATAATGATAATATCGAAATTTCAAATTTAAATAGACAATTTTTATTTAGAAGGGAGCATGTTGGAAAATCAAAATCGCATATAGCATCAGAAATAATAAAGAATAAAAATAAAAATATAAATGTTCAATCTTTAGAGACAAAAATTTGTGCGGAAAATGAGCATATTTTTAATGAATCATTTTGGGAAAGGCAAAATATTATTGTTAATGCTTTAGATAATATTCAAGCTAGACAATATGTAGATAATAAATGTGTATGGTATTCCAAGCCATTATTTGAATCAGGAACATTAGGAACTAAAGGAAATGTTCAAATTATCATTCCATTTTTAACTCAGTCATACAATGATAGTTATGATCCTCCAGAAGATTCTATTCCTTTATGCACGTTAAAACATTTTCCATATGATATTGTACACACAATTGAATATGCTAGAGATATTTTTCAAGGATTATTTTATAATACACCTTTGAACATACAACAATTTTTAAATAATAAAAAAGATTATATTCAAAAGATAGAAGAAGAAGGTAATAATGCTACTTTATTAGAAACTTTACAAAATGTTATTAATACATTGAAGGAAGTTTCAAATCAATGTAATTTTGAATTTTGCATTAGGAAATCAGTTGAATTATTTCACACAAATTTTATAAATCAAATTAATCAGTTACTACATTCTTTTCCTATTGATTATAAATTATCTAGTGGAGAATATTTTTGGATAGGTCAAAAAAAACCACCTCAACCCATTAGTTTTGATTTAAATAATGAATATGTCACAGAATTTTTATTAAGTACATCAAATTTATATGCACAAGTTTATAATATACCTAGTTGTTATGATATTAATTTTATTAAAGAAGTGGCAAATAAAATTGAAGTAAAGCCATTTCAACCAAAAAGTGTAAAAGTCAATATTGATGAAAAAAATTTGAACAACATTTCGTTTTCACATACATCAGAAGCAAAACTAATAGAAGATTATTGTGAAGAGTTATTAAAAATAGAAACAAGTAATATAAAAGTAACTCCCATAGAATTTGATAAAGATGAAGAAACTAATTTACATGTAAATTTCATTTATTCATTTGCTAATTTAAGAGCAAAAAATTATAAGATTGAAACTTGTGATAAATTAAAAGCAAAAATTGTTGCAGGAAAAATTATACCAGCACTTGCAACAACAACATCTATGATAACAGGGTTAGTAGGCATAGAATTATTAAAATATGTAAATTATTATGATTATATACAAAAGTATGTTAAATTATCAGAAGAAGAAAGAAAAAAAGAAAAAGATATTTTATCTTATTTTAAAAATGCATTCATAAATTCAGCATTACCCCTATTTCTTTTTTCGGAACCAATGCCACCACTTAAAACTGTTGATAAAGAGTATGACGAGTTGATGAAGGGACCAATCAGAGCTATACCAAATGGATTTACATCTTGGGATAAAATACAAATTTCAATAAGTAACAACAAAAAATATATGATAATATATATATTAGCAAAGTTTATTATATCAATATATATAAATAGTTTTTTTTTCATTTTATTATTATTATTTTTTTTTTTTTTTTTTATAGAAAATGGAACCATTAAAAACTTAATAGATTATTTAAATGAAAAATATACCATAGAGGTAAATTTAATATCCGTTGGTAATGCATGTCTGTATAACTGTTATTTACCTGCACACAATAAAGAAAGATTGAATAAGCCTATACATGAAATATATATGCAAATAACAAAGCAAAAATTACCTGATGATAAAAATTATATTATTGTTGAAGCTAGCTGTAATGATCAGGACCTTGTAGATGTTTTAATACCTTCTATTAAATTTATATATAAATAAAAAAAAAAAAAAAAAAAAAGTACATGACTATTGTTTAGTTTTTTTTATATTTTTTTTTTTTTTAATATTAAAATACATTTTAATATTAAGAAAAAAAATGTATCGTTGTTCATTTATTTTAAATGTACGTATACATAAATGTTATATAATTAAAAAAGACAAAACATTGTCATTAATCTAATAGAACAATAATTTTGTTTTTAACAAATTGCTTAGAAAGTCATTTATGTCTATTATTACACATCAATTAATTTTAAAAAATTTTTAATTTTTTTTTTTTCCATAAATTGTATCATTATATTTTATTTAGTTTATAATAAAAAAAAAAAAAAAAAAAAAAAAAAAAAATATAAATATATATTCACACACATATATAATAGGAGAGGTAAGAATATTTTAGTTAAGCTTAAAAATTATAGAAATGACAAAAAAAAAAAGAGAATATAGTTGAAGTATAAATTCATAAAAAAAATAAAAATTATAGATAATAACATACCTCATCTGTTAAAAAGTTATCTTATGTAAGTCCTAAAATGATCATTAAAAAAAAAGGATAAGTATTCATTTTTTGAAACACTAAAATATATGAAGAGTACTACTCTATTAATATTTAGTTATTAGAATTTATTTTTAAAATGGATTAATTTAAATTCTTTATTGTTTTTTAATGAATTGTATATTCCAAATAACGTTTTTATGTTTTTAAATCCTGAATTTTCAATGAGTATGTCTAATATGTTATCCATAATGTTATTTACAATTTGATTGCAGTAGAGGCTGATATCACTTTCACTTGTAGTTTTTTTATCGTTTGTATTAATATCTAAGTTATTTATATTTTCATTATTATTCTGTTTTTCTCCATGAATATCCTTTGAAGCGCCTCCATTATGTTCTACATCAATTGTTTCATTTGTTGCTCTCATCTTATCATTTTCCTCATGTTTAGAATTATTAGGTATTTTGTTTAAATAATTAGAATTATTTTTATAATTTGTGTCATCTGGTACATTAGTTTCTGATTTTTGTTCTTTTATAGTATCCTCTATATTAGTAAAATGAAAAATGTTTGTATTTTTTGATATGATATCATCATAATAAATATTTTTGGGGATATTTATATTTTTTTTTAAAAGATAAAAACTGTGATATATACTTTTGTTTCTCTGAATGTAATCAATAATAAATTTTCTTAAATTATTGATATAATTAATAATATGAATTTTTCTTTCGTTTCCTATTTTTAATTTTTCTTTCAAAGTAGATTTAACTTCCTTTTCAATTTCAACTTCACTCTTATTTTTATTTTCTTTATCATTTTCATCAAAAATATAAAAACCTTTTTTTTCAAATAGCTGTATTAGTTCAATATTAGAGAAATTAATTTTACTAAAGATAAGGCGATATGTATCTCTTAAAATTTTCTTTTCATTAGCTATTTCTGCATTATATTCCTTAATTAAAGAAAAAAATCTTTGCCATAGTATATCATTTTCACAAGAATGTTTTTTCTTTAATTTATCTTTTTCAAATAAAATTTTGTATTCTTTTGTAATATTTCTACGAAACCTCTTACCTCCTCTTGAAGTAAATTTTGAATTCATAATATAATTATATAATAATTCATTTTCATCATTATAATTAGCAGCTCTAAATATTTTAATTAAAATGTTAGGAACATCTTGTGGCTTTAAGGATAAATAAAAATATATAAGCTTTGCTTTTAGTTTATCTGAAATGTTATTATACACACTAAAATCAATTAAATTATATTTCTTATCGTATATTTTAGATATATATTCAATTTTTAAAAAATCATAAATATATCTCTTCCTTACTTCTACAGGGATACAAAGTTTAATGCTTCTTAAATATTTTATTAAAAAAATTCTTAAAACCTTCAAACCAAGTACACAATATATTTTAAATTTGTTATGCTTTATTACATCATCATTTATGTTTAAAGTGTGTTCTGTATGACCAAATGGAATATTTTCGTTATCATATGTATATAAATTAGTGTATAATTTTTTTAAATTAACACAAACATCTTTAAATAATAAGTGAGGAGACACTTCAAGAAAATTCCCTATTCTAATCATTATTTCATTACATTCTTCATCAAAACTAAAATTTAAATATTTCATGAGTTCAGAACTTTTTGTAATAACATCTTGTTCAGTATAACTAATTTCTGAATTTTTTAAATGATTATTATGTTTATTACCACCTATATTTATTTCAGCATAATTTTTAGTTTCAGTATTATCTTTTTGATCTACTTTTAGTATATTTGTATCCTTTAATTTGTTAAAATAGTTTTTTTTTTTTTTAATTATATATTTATATTTAATAAATAAGAAAATATTTTTTTCTTTTTTTCTTTTTTTTTTGTTACATAAGAAAATATCTTTCTTTACACATGTTTTTTTGTAAAATTTTATGACTTCTGATTTATCTACTTTTTTCATAGGAATTTGAATAAGCATATTAGGAATATTTATCATACATGTTTTAATTTTGATCAAATAAAAAAATAAAATAACTAGGAAATAAATGATTCTTATATTTTTTTTCTTTTTCTTTTCATTATTTAATATCATTTTAATTGACTAATAAAATGAAAAATAAGATAGCAAAATAAAGATTTGCTTATCATTATATCTTTTATATTATTTTCCTTTATATCAAAATTTTCAATTTGACTACTTAGAAATAATATTTATTATTCCTTTTTTTTTGTCTTGAATATCATTAAAAATTTTTCCTTGATCATTTTTAATCTTGTTATTTTATAAGTTTTTTTATATAATAATTTCAACTATTTGAAAAAGAGAAAATTATATTTTTACTTCATAGAATAATAATTTTTTATAAGTTTAAAGATGTTTATGAAAAAAGCTTATATATACATATTTTTTTATTTTATTTTATTTTTTTTTTTTTTTTGTTGAATGTTCTGTTAGTATTTTTAATCACTGAATAAATTATCGTTTGATAAAAATATACTTTTATTTATAAATATTCATATACATTAATTAACTTTGAAAGTTTTTTGTAATTAATATTTTTAAAAATAAATTATAAACTAAAAATTAAATTATTAAAAATAAAAGAATATTAATGAACAAATAATTAAATTAATATAAAATAAAGAAAAATATTAATTAAAAAAAAAAAAAAAAAAAAAAAAGTTAAATTATCCAATTTTTATTTTTTTTTAATTATACAAATCGTTTTTAAATGAATCTATAAACATGTATTAAAATTATTTTTAAAATTTTATTATTGAAATATAGAATTATGTTTATGAATTAACATAAACTTAATTTTTAAATTCAAATCCAATGTTTTATTTCTTGTTATTCTAAATACCAAATTTTAATTTTTCGCTAAATTTTTCTAATTCTTTCAATCTATCATTTTCTGCAGATAAGGAATATAAACTTTTTTTTCTGCCTGACCAACTCAATAAAGTTAAATGTCTTCCTTTTGAATCAGTAATTGACATTATTTTATTCCATTCTAATTTTGATTTATTTAAAAAAACTTTGTTTCTAATTAAAACATAAACACCTAGCCAGTCATTTTTAGAACACAACATCTGATCAAACTGTTCATATAATGTAAACGCTTTTTTGCTAATACCTAGTTCCTACAAAAAAAAAAAAAATAAAATAAAATAAAATAAAATAACATAAAAAAATAATTAAAAAAATTATTTATTTTTTCTATTTTATTTTTATAAACACCTTTGAAAAACTAAAATGTGGAATTTTCGTTATTATTATTGCATTTTTTATGAATGGTGCAACATTAAAAAAGTGTGCTTTATGAAATGAAACGTCAAAAGGAAAATTCAAGTTATATTTTTTGTCTTCTTCTGTAGAAATTGATACAGTTTCAATATCTGGAATATTTATATTCATATCTTCATTTTTCATTTCTAGCTCTTTTTTTTCCTCTTTATTTTTGGTTCTTAGCTTTTTTGCATCCTTTGCAATTTTTTTTTTTTTTTTATCTTTCTCTATATTATATAACTGATCTAAATCTTTTACGAAATTAATATCTGATGTTTCATCATAGAATACTTCTTCATCATTATCTATTTCTTCCTCATCTTCATCTTCTTTAATGTCCTCTTTTAAAACATAATTCAAAAATGAATTTTTCTTTATTCTACTTGAATATGTGAAATTATTATCTTCATTTTTACTATTTCCTAATTTTATTTTTTTTAATATATCTTTATAATATAATGAATATCTAATTAAATTTTTCTTACATTCAGCTATCATAATACTTCTATTATCACTACCTATTAAATGTATATTTTTATAATTATTACTTAAATCACTTAAGGCGTAATTATATATATTTACAAATTCTTCTTTATCAAATATTTTTAAATTCATAAAAGGCAAAATTTCTTTTTCATTATATAATGGTAAATTTAAAAAATGGTTGAGTAATTCAAAAATTAAATTGCCACTACTGCAAAAAGGATCCCATATAATATTAATTTTTTTTTTATTTTTTAAACATTTTTGAATCATTAAAGAATATGTACAATTAGATGAATCATAACAATCGTCACTTAAAAAAAAATTGTTATTATAATAATTCATTCTTTTTATTTCCATATTTCTTAAATAATTAACGACACTATTTTTATCCTTTTCTTTTTTCTCTTTATCTATATCATATGCTTTTTCGTAATTTTCATTTTTTTCAGTATTTTTTATAAGAAATTTATTCATGGAGTTACAAGGATTTTCTAAAACAACACTTTTCTCTTTAAATTTATTCATATATACATCATTACAATCATAATTTTTTAACTCTATACTTTCATTTTCTAACATATTACTTAAGGATTTTTCATTTTTTCTTTTTTCTTCATCATGAAAAATTGAATACACATTCCTGTTATTTTCTAAAGATGTTTCATAATTCTTGTTTAGTTCTTTCTTTTTTACTGATGGTGACGATATTGCAGCATTATCAGTAGTCATATCAAAAACTCCTTTTCTTAATTTATTTGTAAAAAATCTATATTTATAATTATTTTCTCCTGTATTTATTTCAATATTTTGATGGTCTATTTGAATTTTTTTTTTTTCTTCATATATTGACCAAAACGGGACATTCTCATTTACAATATTTTTTATTTTTTCATCATTAATTTTATAATTATTGTTGAAAAGAGAAAAAAAATTTAAATTTTGATACTTTTCAATGTTTTTAACATTTTCCAATTCTTTAATGTTACCATATTCATAAAATCGGGGAGATAGTTTTCCTGTAAATTTTATGTCAACATTGCATATATTATTTTCAATATGAAATGATAATAAATTCCATACATTATTTAAATTATCATTTAATTTTTCTTCAGTTGTTTCATTATTACTTAAAGTTTTGATATTAATATTACCGTCTCCCTGTTTATTTTCATTATAACTACTTAAAGTAGTTGCTTCTATTGAATTACCACTTAATATATTTACATATGTTTTTTGATCACTTAAATCTTTTTTATTTTTTACATTATTATTTACATTTTGTGTAACATTCTTATAACTATCTATTATAGTATTTAAACATTTATATATGGTACTTTTAATACTTTTAGTATCAAATAATTTTGAGTTAACACATACAATTTTGAGTGGTATATTTATTAAATCATTACAATCAAGGAATTTATTCCAATCAATATTTAGGATAATATTTTCTAAACAATTTAAAGAATTACATATTTTGTTTTTTGACACGTTTAACCATATACTTTCAGCATATTTACACTTTAACGATAATAAATAAATTAAAGATATTGAACACTTCAATTGTATTCCACCACTTGTTTTGGTTAATTTAATTAAATGTTTTACTTTCTTTTCTTTATTAATATTATTTCTTTCTTTTTCATAATTCATTAAATCTTTTACATATATATATTTTATATCATTTTTTAAAATTGATTCTCCTCCTTTTCTTATTGATATAAAAAAATTATATTTACAGAAATTTCTTTTATTAAAAATAAAAGAAAAATTAATTAATTTCATTTTTTATATTTATCTCTCTTTTTGAAAAGTATTTTTTCGATACATTTAAGTTTTATTTATAAATTATCAAAAACCTTTGTTTTTTCATTTTTATGATTCTCCTTTTTTTTTTTTTTTTTTATACTTAATATGGCAACATTATAGCCAAAAAGTATGTTTTTATAGTAAGGAATCATTATATAAAATAGTATCTTTTTTTATTTATATAATTGATGTGAAAAAAAATTTTCATAATGTTATATGAATAAGGAATTTTCAAAAGTTATAAAATGAGAAAAAAGATAATACTGGAATAATTATGGGAAATAAGATTAAAAAAAAAAAAAACTAAAAAATATTTTACTTTTTTTTTAAATATTTATAAGATCTTTAAGTTAAATTTTTAATTTATATTCTTTTATTTTTAGAGTTGAATATATAGGCTATATTAATTCTGTAAAATATGTAGGAGAAAAAATTTTAACTATAATCACCACACAAAAAATATGGATTGCTTAAGTAGGTGCCATTTTATCGTACATAGTTATTTCCATCTTATAAAATAATTTTTCTTTTATTTATATGGAATATATAAAAAAAGTAAAATTAATTTAATTATAAAAAACACAGCGAATTAGGTTACTTTTAATTATGATTCACCTTCTAATTTTTTTTTTTTTTGTAATATTAGAAAATGTGTTTTTTATAAGAATATATATAAAGAATAATTTTATTAAAATAGAGTGAAATGATAAAATAGTTCTGCAAATTAATTGCAGTATTTTGTCCTTTTATAAACTTTAATTTTTTTTATTAATTATTTTTTTTTTTTTAATTTACGTAAAGATCTAAGAAAAAATACAATTAAACTATTTATTAGTACCAAATATAAGAATTGTAAAAATCTTAAATTGTTTTATTTATTCAAAATATTTTACTATTTTAAATTTTTTATTATTGAAATTTTTAATGTAAAATATAAAGCTATAATAATTTAAATAATTGTAACACCATAATCTAGATAATTTCTAATTATAGAATTTTTCCTTAGAAATTTTTATGTTTACTATTTCTTTATGAAACATTTTTATATAAAAAAATGGAATATAAAAGAAACTTATTAGTATATTTTAAATGGCATGTGAATAAGTTAAATAAATTTTTATCCATAATACATTTTTTATAGTATGTTTTCTCCTGTTTCTATTTTAAATCTCTTTTTTTTTTTTTTTTTTTTAATTGAAAATTAGAATAAAATGAAACCTAATTGTAATTATTTTTATATCAAATATTAATTTTATGTATAAGCAAGTATTTTAAACTATACATAAATATGACTAAATGTTTGCATGTATTCACCTAATACATTTAGAATTATTTAAATTTATCAATTATTTATTCTTTTTTGTTAGCCGAATTCATTTCTATTCTTCAATCGTATTATGAATTATTAAACATGCATTTTTTTGTAATATATAATCATTCTTTTTGCAAAGAAAAATTTCCTGAAGAATTATGGAGTATTTATTTGTTCGGTGATAACTCTTTTATCTTTTAAACAATTCTAAAACTACATTAAAAAATAATGTAATAGATCTAACAAGAGAAGAAATAATATCAATATTATTAAATGCATGTATTATTTGCACGTTAAAAAGAAGATAAATAAGGAATGTACGTAAATATAAATACATGAAAATAGAAAAAAAAAATAAAAGAAAAAATTGTAATATTATTTTTAAAAAAAAAAAAAAAAAAATTTTTATTTTGAATTATTTATAATAAGGGAGAAGTTTCCATTTACTTTTTTTTTCCAAGAAAACTTATTAAAGTCACAAGTTTTTAAAAGTTTTTATGTCAATTTTCCTATAATTTTTGTTTTTGTTTAAAATTAATCTTTATTGATTTTCCTTTTTTTTTTTTTTTTTTTTTAATTTTCTTCAATATTTTTTGTTTTTTGAAAATGTATAGATTACCAACAGTATTTTTATTATGCCTCATCTTTTTAAGTATGTTTTTTGTAGATAAGTGTGAGGCATTATACAATAATTCGTTTTTTTTTTTTTGCAACCGAAAAACAAGCTTCAAGGAAAAAATTTTATTCAGAAAAAGTATCTTGAGTTGATTAATTATAAAAGTACCGATAAATGCCTAACTGATTTAATGCATAAAAATAATATAAAATTGATAGCTATTGATATTGATGGAACATTAGCTAATTACGAAAATAGAGTCAGTAATGAAAATCTTCGTGCAATGCATATTGCTAAAAAGCTAGGAATAAATGTTATTTTAGCAACAGGAAGATCGCATGGTTATGCATTACAAATATTTGATCAAGATCAAATTGATCAATATAAAATGGATAAATATGATGGTGTGTTCTCAGATGGTGCCTCTGTTTATATAAAAGGAAACAATTTTGTATACAGAAAGTTTAGTAATAGGGATTTTGATACATTAATGTTTGCATTAGCACATTATAATCTTTTTAATTATGCAGTCTTTATAACAAAAGATAGTGCATATGTGGTTGTTGAAGATCCAAATTTGCCAAATATATTAGTTAAAGAACATGAAGGTATAAAATCTTCAGTTAAATATATAGTAACTTTAGATCGAGGACTTGAAGCTATAGTATTAAATAACATTAAGGATATTTCAAGTATCGGAGATATACTAATAGTACATATATACAGAGAAGTTTATGAAGGGCAAGAACCTTTCAATGATTTTTTTAGAACATTGCATGATGAGTTAAAACAAAATTTTAAAGTTTATATTACAGAACATAATGATAAAATTGTCATATCACCATTAAATACATCAAAACTAGTCGGAGTTGAATTATATGCACGATTATATAATATTAATATAAATAATATTTTATCAATTGGAAATGATTTAAATGATGTACAATTATTATCATCAACAGGATATTCTGTTGCAGTTAAAAATGCTATCAAAGAAGTATCCGATATTGCTAAATGTGTTAGCACCAAAACAAATGATGAACATTCAATAGCAGATATTATATATAAAGTAATTTCTGGAAGATTATAAAAAAAAAAAAAAAAAAAAAAAAAATTCCTTTTATAATTAATTATAGCAAAGTAAGATCTTCTTTCTTATTTCCTTTATATTGCTATTTTATTTTTATAAGGATAAAAAGTATGGTTTATTATAATTATGGAGATTCTTGTTTTTAATAAGAGCATATTATGTTTAAATACTTTTTGTACTTTTTCTGAGATTAATATGTTAAATTACTGTATTTTCTCTATGTATCATATATAATTCATTGTATTTTTTCATTTTTATTATTATGCATTTCATTTTTTATTTATGAGCATTTCTATGATAAAAATATAATATTTTTATTTAAAACTAGATTTCGTTTAATAGATATAATAATGCAAATTAAGTTTTTTTTTTTTTTAAATTTTTATATTTGTGTATATTGGAAAAAAAAAAAAAAAAAAAAAAAAAAAAAATGTATTAAAAAATATTATGTAGAAACTTTAAAGTACTACAGTGATATATTATTCAAAAATAAATATAAAGACTGCAATAAAATATAGAAAAAAATATGTTTCTCGAAAGCTATATCCCTTTTTCATCAAATAAGTTTTTTAGGTATTTCGTTTAAATTTTACACATTATTTTTAATGAGTTTTTTTTTTTTTTTTATGTAAACAACATGTCTTTTGTAATATTCAATTTGTTCTTTTCTTTTTTTAAATGGATCCTTTTAGTTGCTTTTCTTTACTCAGCTCTTTTTTTCTTTTTTTTTATTTTTTTATTAAAACGCTTATGAATTTTAAAATCATTTATTAAGAATTTTTTTTTTTTTTCGAATATATTTTTATCATTTCCAATATTATGATCTATACCCAATTGCCAAGGATCACTTAGTGTATTTTTGAATTGATTTTTGTTTCTGTTTATAAAGTTATAATATTCATCTAACTCGAAATACATATTTATAATATTATCATTAATAACATAAGCATTTTCTTTGTTTTTTGAATAATTATTTTTATTCATCATTAAAAGGACATTTTCTAGTTCTTGATCAGAAAAGTAGTTTTTAAAAGTATCATCAGTCAAATTTATAATTTGTTTTACCTTCGTATAATTTAAACCAATGAAATAATCGTCATCATAATTTTTTACCTTTTTTTTTATGCTATTTTGATTATTAAACATTTTTACTTCTCTTTCTCTTTCTCTTTCTCTTTCTTCTTTCGCTGCTTCTTTTTCAATACTCTTTAATTTTGTATTTAATTTTTTTCTCATGAATAGCAAAATACTTTTAGGAAGATTTTCCTCTTCATCAATCTTACAGTATATATCTTTTTCATTAAAACTTATAACCCTTGTTTTGCATATTTTACAGTTTTTATGCAAATAATCAGTTGATATAAAAAATGGCAACAAATGCACATTTTTGAAATTATTGCAATCTTCTTTATTTTTATTAATATTGGAATTATCACATGTAATATTATTATTATTACTTAAATCAAAAATATATTGAATTAATGTCTTATTATATGTATATATTCTTAAATTATCTGACAAATTTACAAAACTATTTATTTTCATTAGGTTATCTATTGAATCAAATTTACATTCAATATATCCCCTTTCATGAAATATTGGGATATTAATTTCTTCCCATATAAAATTGGGTTCCATATAAAAGGTAAAAATAAAGTAAAAAGTTTCTTTATTTTCATTATTTTGACTAGTATCATTTTCATTCAAGTTATTCAATTTGTGTTCATTATGTTCCTTTTTATTAGCATAATTTTGATATGTATCATTTCTATTTTCATTTATTTTATTCTCCCATATTGTATAATGAGCACATAAAAAATAAACATTTTGGAAATACTCAGGAAAATATTGCTCTAAAATAGAATTAGGAGTATAATAAATTAAATTATTTTTTTTAGGATGAAGATTTTCATTTTTTTTTGAACATATAAAATGAATATAAACTGGTTTTATACTTTTATATGTATTATAAATTATATTTAATAAATCAGTTATATAAAAAAGTGTAAAATCTTTTTTGTGTTGTTCAAGGTCTTTTAACTTATTTCCATATATTTTACATGTTCTCTTGTTGTTCCATTTTATTTTTTCATTCATTTTATTTTTTTATTATTATTTTTTTTTTTTTTTTCTGCTTTAATATCTTTAGTTTGTACAATATTTAAAATTTGTTAATACAAAAAAAAGATGGATATTAATTACACAAAAAAAAAAAAAAAAAAAAAAAAAAAAAAAAAAAAAAAAAAAAAAAAAAAAAAAATAAAAAAAAAAATAAAAAAAAAAAAAAAAAACNNNAAAAAAAAAAAAAAAAAAAAAAAAAAAAAAATATAAAATAAAATAAAATATTACATACATACATATAAATATATATATATATGTACACATAAAAAACAATATTTTTATGCAAAAAATTTTTACAAACACTTTATTGTATTTTTTTTTTAATAATCAATAATTTTTTGTGAATAAAAAATTGTTGAGTTCTTTGCATTACAGTTGCTAAACAAAACAGAAAAAAAAAAAATATTAAAATGATATAATTTCTGAATAAAAAATTATATATTTCTATAAAAACTATTTATGAAAAAGAATGTTATATAAAAAAAAAATATCAAATGAATTTTTGCATGAGCAAATAGTTATTTATCGTGTATCTCATAAAGCATACGAATATTAATATTAATTAATGTAATAAAAATAAAAATTTTATTAAATTTTTTTTTTTTTTTTAAAAGAATACAACTATATTTGCAAATTTTAAAGAAAAAAAAAAAATTAATATAAAGTTATATTAAATAAAAAAAAAAAAAAAAACAAAGATTAATTTCCATGTATTAATATGAGCATAAATAAGTGATCTACTTAATTACCAGCTTACTTCTTAATGAAATTACTTATTTTAAAAAAAAATTATTAAATAAAAGTTATATAACATTTTAAGTTTCACATATTATTTTACATGTTTTTTTTAAAAAAAAAATATAATAATTAACTTACAAGTTGCATTATTTTTAAAAAAGACAAAAAAAAAAAAAAAAAAAAAAAATATATATATATATATATATATAACATGTACTTAGAATACTTTTATATTTTTTTCATATATATTGCAAAGTATCTTCATGTGTTAGCAACTGTATTTTCTTTTTATCTTTTTAATATTTTATGTTTACATAAAAAATTAAAAAAAAAAAATTATTTAAACTTTTTTTATTATATATTACTCTTAACATTTAAAATTTTTCATATAATTAATTTCATATATATGCCTATAAATTTTATACTTAAAAAGCAAGTTTTTTTTTTTTTTAGTCTTTAAATTGTATACCATATTTTATTCCCTTTAATATTAAATTTTAAAATATATGAACAAATTAAAATGTAAATATTATTAAATAACAACTTTTGCTGAAGCATGCAATATTTTGTATTACTTTAAAAAAAAAAAAAAAAAAAAAAAAGATGAATAAAACTAAAAAAAAACTTGTCAACGTTTCTAACGAATTGAAAATCCTGTATAATTACTAATTAAATTAAATAATTTTGTTCTATTTAATATACATTTATTTTTTTTTTTTTTTATTTTTTTTTTTACTTTTTCCTTTAAATTAATATTTTTTAAAACTTAACACTATCCATAATGCGTCAATAAATATGTAATTTTTATAGATTTATTATAAAACCATAAAATTTCATTTTAAAAAAAAAAAAAAAATTGTAAGGCTATAAAAACTTTTTTTATTACTTTTGACTTTATTTAATATTATCTTTTCATATTGAATTTTATTTTATTCTGTATGGTTTGATCTTATCATATTTTATATTATTTATTTATATTATTTTTCTTTTAAATATTATTTCTTTTACCTATTATAAATAGTATTAATGAAAATTTTTTTATTAAGATTTATTAATCTTAAAAATTAAAATTTATAATATATGTCTTTGCATTTTTGAATTAGTTTTTTTTTTTGAAAGAATAAAAAGAGCAAGAAAATATATAATCTTAAGTCTATCTTACTAAAATTTTAATATTTATATTGTAATGAAAAAAATAAAAAGTAATTTATTATAATGAAAAAAATAAGCATTATAAAATTGAATAAACTTTAAAAAAATATTCCAACTCAAAATGAATAATTGTAAAGGCATCTGAATTTAACGAATTTTAGTCATGTATTCAAAGAGATTTTGTGTTATAAATTTATGTTAACATTTTGAATTTTTTTTTGTTTTTTTATAAAAAAAAAAAAAAAAAAAAAAAAATAGCAGTATAAAATAAAATTGTGTGAAGAACAATTTTAAAACAAAATAACAAAAATATTAATTTAATTTATTCTGCATTTTAATATGAAAGAAATATGATTGTGTGTATAAATTTATTATCAATTTTATAAATATATTTATGTAATTATTGATATTAAAAATAATTCATATTTTTTCTTTTTATAAAATTTAAAATCTTTTATTGGAATTTATTAATTATAATAAAAAATAAAATTAAAAAAATAAAAATCAATTCATATATTTTTTTTTCTTTTTTTTTTTTTTTTTTTTTAATACTAAATATT